GTGTGTGTGTGTGTGTGTGTGTGTGTGTGTGTGTTTAGATATTATTGTTTTAATTTCTGCCACTTTATCACACATTTATAAGTGGAAAAGGTGTGGAGACGTTTTTTTTATTTTTTGCCATTTTTAAAATCAGAATTCTTTGGGAAAAAGTCTGAATTCTGACTTTTACTCATCCATCCAATTATATKTTATCTGCTTCTTCCTTTCAGGGTCATGGGGGTCACTGTGCAAGGGGTGGGGGACACCCTGGACAGGTCACAAGTCCATCACAAGGACAGAGACAAACCAGTTAGCTGAACGGTCTGGAGGAGAAAACCCACACATGCATGGAGAGAACATAGAAACTACCCAGAGGCAACCGCTTTACCAACTGATCCACCGTACTGCCCCTTGAGTTTGACTTTATTCTCAGAATTTTGAGTAAAAATATTAATTATAAAATGAAAATTTGATTTTGTTTATAGAATTTAAAATAGATAAAAGTTAAAATTAAATCCATGTGCAAAATGATTACGGGAAAACAATTTAAATCAAATTAAATTTAAATTATTGTAGAACTAGTGATCATTTCAGAAACAATCATTCAAGTCAGTCGACAGTAATAGTCTTATTATTTTTATCATTACAATGTCCTTTTCTTATTGAGTATGTGATATTTTTTTGTGTTGCTGGACTGTTTTATTTTTTAAAGAAATAAAGCACTGATAGACCAGAGGAACATTACACGGCACAGAACATTAACCATTACAGTCCAGCTCTAATGGGCGTCAGTGTAACCAGCTGTGTCATTAAATGAATCAGAGCCGTCTCGTTTGTCCCTGTGATGGACTGGAGACCTGTCCTGGGTGTCCCTCGCCTCTCACACAGTGACTGCTGGAGATAGACACCAGCTCCTCGTAACCCAGAGAGGAGAGGCAGGTAGAAGAAAGAACAAAGATTTGATGGATGAAACATAATAAATATGAGACATGAAGCAGACAGACTGGCTTTGAACACTGAATAATTTGCAATTCTAAAAAGTGAGTAACTGTTTGAGAAAGGATACTGCAGAAACACAACATAGATCAGGGGTCTCACCAAAAGAGTCATTTCTGCCCCTCAACTCACTAATAGAAGTCTGGAGCCGTGATGTGCTACAGCTGCGATCAACTGGTGGTCAGTGGGTCACTTTGAGTCTGCTGAAGAGGGCTTTTTCCATCCAGTGGAGGTGACATTATAAAACTAAAAATATATTGTGAATTTTAGCATGCTAGTACCTTTACGCTTTAGGAAAATAGAAAAAAAACATATTTGTTATATACAGCAGGTAAAATAAGTATTGAACATGTCAACATTTTTCTCAGTAAATATATTACTAGAGGTGCTAATG